TGGGAGCATTAACTAAATGCCAGGTGCACTGGTAAGCTTCTTTCATGCCCATCTTACTTAATCCTCACCCAGCCTGTGCTCATCCTTTACAGATGAAAAAAACTAGTGATTAGTTCATGCAACTCACATGAGGTCTCACAGCCAGTAAGTGGAGGGCTGGTGTGGTTCCAGATCTGTGTGATGCCAAAGCACATGCTCTTAGTCTCCACAGCTGTCTTCTACCAACAGTCCTCTATTAAAAAAGGGGTTCCTCCTTATTCAAAGATAATGCCACTGAGAATTTCCATCTCAGAGCATTAAGTTCTGAGTGCAGCTCCCTGCTTTCTATGGTTCTCCCCTCAGAACCCTAGTCATGGGTGGAAAACAGCCCACGGAGGCTGTTGGAGCTGACAGTGCTGCTGGGTTGAGAATCCAGCATTGGCATGTGCTCTGCTGTGTTCATTGGGAAGGTGCCTCAGCTGGGGACGCTCTGGGTTGCAAGGAACAAGCCTCAGAGGGTCTAAGCGGAAGGAAGTGTATTTCACCCACAGGAGGGGTCAGGAGCAGGGTGTTTTCCAGGTGTGGCAATGAGGGCCTCAATTCGGTTTCTCTTCCACTGGTGATCTTCCTTCTTGGGAGCCAAGGAGTGGCAGTGGCTCTAGTCTATGACTCAAAGAAAGAAAAGGAACACCAGTCCTGGTGTGTCATTTTCTCCTAAGTCCTGCCCCAACCCCCAGCCCTCTGGGAAACCTCCTCTGGTGTCTCATTGGCCAGAAGTGGTCACACGCTCACACTTCACCAAAAGGCCATGGGAACGGGATCCCTTGGCAGGGCTGTTAAGGATGATGGGAGCCAATCAGAGAGACCTCCACAACCTTCTCCTCAGCCCACACTGCAAATGCTGCTGGGACTGGGGCCCAGGAGAGGCAGACTTGGTTTCTGCCTTGAGGGGCTGACATATAGGAAGAGAGGTTCTAAGAAGATCCCTCTCCATGGGGCATGGCTTGGAGGGTGAAACCAGAAGAGGGTGTTGTAATGATTCTGAGGGGGGCGAGGCCTGGATGGGTCAATGGGGGCAAATAGGAGGGACATCAGAGAGGTGCAGAAATGAAGGAAGCGGGCTAAGACATCTGAGAACCCCAAAAGAAAAGGAGCTGTATGGTTTGAGGCCCCTCCCTCACCAGCTGCCCCACCCCAGGCCCAGCCCTCAGGGAGGAGAATGAGTCCTGAAAAATCACAACTTTTTAGCAACCAAGCCTACTGCTTCAAAACACAATTTGCCTTGAGGTCCCGGCCCCCGCTGCGCCCCAGGCCAAGCTGTGGGGGAGAACCCCACCCAGGCTGAGCCCCATCCTGTTTTGCATAATATTTGAACGCATCTGTTTGAAGAATTCAAGAAGTAGCAGGTCCAAGGATTGAGAATAAATTGCAAAATCAGTCGTTTGAGGATTGATTGCCACAGCCAGGCACCTGGATCCACTCTAGCCATCCTTTGGAGCCATCGTAAGTGACAAAAACAAAGGTACTAGCCACGAATGAGGAAATGTTCATATCTGGGGTGTTTTTTTAATTAGCTCTTTCATGCTGCACTCCCTTGAGCATGGGAATATTTGTGGAACAACACCACCACCAACCCCCACCCCACCCCACCCCCGTCTCTGCCTTTTGACTTGATGGCACATTAAACCCACCAATTGCTGGATTTCTCTGCCAGCCACAAGATTGATGGGGAAGTTGAGCCAGGCATCTCCATGTTCCAAGGATCTTCCTCCCCGACTCACAGGGGATGGCAATCCCCAAGAGTGTTGCAGCTGCCAGGACAGGATGCACCAAGTACCGGGTCAGAGTAGAGCCGTGGGACTGCCATGCCCTATCCTGAAACGCTCTGGACCCTGAATCTCCCGACACCTGCCCTCAGGTCCCTGCTGCAGGCAGAAGATAGTGGTGGTTGCTAGGCAGGAGTGGAGAGGAAAGGCTGAGGACCCGTCCAGGGGAGGTGAGACCACACTTTAACCAAGCCCTTGAAGCACACTTCATGGTCTGGCCAGACTGCATTTAAAAAACACAAATTCAAAGATAATGCCATTGAGAAGTTCCATCTCAGAGCATTAAGGTCTGAGTGCAGCACCCTGCTGAGCAACAGGACCCTGTGTGACTGCACTTGATGCACATCTATGAAGCCAGCCCGGCTTACTGTCTGCTTTCCACATTGCAGAGTGATGTTTTCAGACCCAAATATGGTCATGTCACCTTCTTCCTGGCACCTTTCTTTGATTTCCCATTGTTCTCATTAGTCACTGTCTTGGTATAGCCTAAAGACCCTGCCTGACCTAGCCTCAGCCTATTCTTCTAAATTTCAACTCATAATACTCCTCCCTCAGCATCTGGTACTGCTCCCTGGGCCTTCTTTCAGTTCTCTCTCTTACCTTATTCTCTTCTACTCCAGGTCCTTGGCACATGCTCTCTCCTCTGCCTAAAAGATTCTTCCTGTCCCATCCCAGTCCCTGCCTTGGCCCAGCTAATTACTCCTCGTCCCTCCACTCTCTTATCAAGTGTCACCTCTTCAGGAAAACTTTCCCTGACCATCAGATGGATGCACTGATGGATAAACTTCAAACAAGATTGAAAGCAATTAGACACCACTGTGGGGGAAGTTTGCCAAGTTCTCAAAGGCTGGAAGAGAAAATGTTTTCAGAGGAACAGCCCTCAGAGGTAGGCCAGGCTGGAGGACAGGGCTGGGGGCCTGGAATCCTCACTTAAAATCCAGGAAGAATCAGAAGCAAGAGCGTGGAGACTTCTGAAGAGAGGGGACTGGAGAGAAAGGGTCTGAAAGCTCCTAGGTGACATCCAAGGAGCCAGGAGACCCTTTCCATGAATTTCACTTTATAATGGCACTGCCACGTGTCCAGGGGACATTTGTTTTGTCCCTTTTGTTGTTTACGTGCTGTCTTACTAATATCTGCCTCTCTCTGGGAATGCCAGGTGACACAGGCATCTCCTTCTGGAAGGAAACCTCTCTCTGGAGGAGTAACATCTGCTGTGCCAACAGACTGTAGCCAGAAGGGCATTGCTCAGTTGGCACTCAGATTTCGGCTGAGTACACTGCCATGGTGCTACCCAGGGCTCTCGGGTTGCCCACCCACCCCAGGGCTGATCTGGGATGTTTCAGTGCCTGGCCTTGGTGGCCCACTGTTCCTGGGAGAAAGGCCTATGTGTTCCCACATGGTGACCAGAGGCACACCCTCTGTGCTGGGGCACCCGCTGTGAACCCCAGTTGCTCTGATGCAGAGTGGAACAAGCCCACTGCAGGGCCCCCACCAGCGTCAACCCAGCCTTCCTGTCTGGGGACGGGAGTAGTGGCAGCTGTGCTGAGTCACAGCAGCGTGCACAAGGACACAGAAGGAGCCAGGCCAGGTCATCTCCCCCAGGAGGGGAGCTGCATAGCAGCAGTACGAGCCCCGGGTTCTGACTGCATCAGGCCTGAGCTGAGCACTACCTGTGCCCTGGGTCTCATTTAATCCTCCCAACAGCCTGTGAGGCATCATGGCTGATTCAACAGATAGAGAAACGGAGGCCCAAAGAGGTCCGTGGATACATTGGGAGTCCCATCACTAAGTAGGATCTCTTCTCCTCAGAGTGTGGGACTAGAGGTGTGGAGCAGAAGCAGAATGAAGAGGAAGGGGAAAGAAAGAAGTCCCCACTGAGGAGGAAGTGTGGAGGCCAGGGACCATGCTGGGGGTGGGGTGGGGCTCTTAGGTGAGGGCTCTGCTCCTCCCCTGATGCTAGGAAATGTCCTTGTCTCCAGTGGGGGGTAGAGGGTGTGGCCTGGGTGCTCAGGATGTGATACAGATTCTGTTTTTTGATTTGCCTTCCCACCTGAGCAGCTGCAAAAATAAAGGCCTCTTCCTGCTCACCCGCCTGGCCAAGTGGACCATCAGCTTTCAGGTTTACTCATCTGCAGCCGCAAGAGTGTGACTCTGAGTTTCCAAGCACTGTCAGGCTTCAGAAGCCAGAAGCAAGTCGGGATTCTTGAAAGACATCGAAGAGGTTCAAAGAGGCCAATTGGTGATTGGAATCAAAGCCCAGCAGATGTGGAGGAGGGATACCTCCAGGGAGTCCCAAGCCTCCTTGGCCTCACCCAGCCCTAGCCACCAGCTCTGGTTGGAGAGCAGAGACCTGCAGGGACAGCAAGAGCCAGCAGAGACCACAGGGAGGCTCTCAAGTGGCAGAAGACCTTTGGACAAACAGTCTTTTGGTGGACATTGTAAACAAAACAACAAACAAACTAACCAGAGGGCCAGGTCCCAATCAGACCTACTGATGAGGTGGGGTCGGGAGTCTGCATGGTTTTTAGGGTTCAGGCCTGTACCCTTGGACCTGAACTCCTGCTATTGCCTTACCGCCTCATTTCACAGATGGAGAAACCGGCCCCAGATGGAGACAGAAGGACCGCCTAGACACAGGGAGGACAGCACACACCACCCCAGCACCCAGCCTGCTTTGTCACCTTTCCAGGCCCCCTGCCTGCTTTGTCACCACCCCCAGCCACCCTGTTTGCTTTGTCCTTTCCTCTACTCTCTGGAAAACTCTCTTTCTAAAGAACCTCTAAACAGTTTCTCAGCATCCTTTCTTCAGAGTGATTTTAATTTAGGTGGAAAACGTTCCAGCCCAGTTGGTGTTTAATTGTCACTGAGAGGATCAGGGATTCAGAGCAAGAGACCTTGATTTCCATCTTGGCTCCAGAAAATCGGTAGGCGGAAACAGGAGGAGCGCCCCCAGGGCAGGCAGCAGAACAGCCTGTGCTCAGGCCCTAAACAGGGAAGCCCTGGGCCTGTCCAGGAAACTGGAGGTAAGGAGGGGGAAAGGGAATGAGAACACGGGGTCAAAGAGCTCCAGCCTCATCTTGCTGAGGTTGAATTTCTTCAGGTGGAAAACAGGGATGATGAGTTCACTCATTTTATTTTATTATCCAAAATTTGTCTAACGAGATGTTTCCCCACTCATTTCGATTCAGGTTGCTCTTAGTGTTGCTTCTTCCCAACGGAACACCCTTCTGTAAGCCCTGCTTTTCCTCCTGCAGGCTGGCAGAGGACAGTGAGCAGCCAACACAAAACTACCATTCGTGCCTGGCTAAAGACTGTGGTGACCTTAGAGCGTCCCGGGCATTTTACATCCATGAAATGGGAATTGGGGCTCTGCACCAGGCGCTTCTTCTTGTGTTTCCTCTTCTCCTTTTCTGGAGAGGGATGAAGAAGATCTTTTGCAAGAAGCATATTCATGTGGAGAGGTCATCACTGCTAGAAAGTCCACATATTTTAAAAGTGATGCTTCAAAGCTTATATTAGAAGTATATAAACCAGATGCAGGCCTGTAATCCCAACGGCTGGGGAGGCTGAGGCAGGAGGATCTCAAGTTCAAAGCCAGCCTCAGCAACTTAGCAAGGCCCTAAGCAACTCAGTGAGACCCTCTCTCTAAACAAAATATAAAAAAGGTCTGGGGATGTGGCTCAGTGGGTAAGCACCCCTGGGTTAAATTCCTAGTTCAAAAAAATAAATAAATAAAAAAGAAGTACATAACACATCAAGCCTCAGTGTTTGACAACATGAAAAGGCACCTAGCCCACTTCCCGCCCCAGTAGGTTGGAATCCACAGTGATAGAGGCACCTTAGACCTGGCAATACTGCCACTGCTGGCCCATCCACCCAGACTCCCAGGACTTCCAATAGCAGAACCAAGCTGAGGAGGGGCAATAGCTCTCATCAGACCCACGAGACCCACCTTCTTAGGGTGGAGGTGCCCATTTCCCCAGCTTCCTCCTAAGTCCAGCTTTTGAAATGCCCTCCTCAGCTCACTTATAAGAGCTACATTTTCTCATGTTCTTTGGTTTGTTTGTAAATTTTTATTTTTATATAATTTTCAACTTAGAGAAGGGTACAAAGAACTCCTGTTCCCATTACCCAAATTCCTTAGATTGATTTACCCCATTGCTTTATTATTATTTCTTTATGCATATTCATTTGTTATATTACTGAAGTTGAAGGCATGGTAACTTTTCACCCCTGAATCCTTCAAGTATGTATTTCTTACATAACCACAGTATAATTTTCAAAATTAAGAAATTTAATATTAGGCTGGGATGAAGCTCAGTGCTAAAGCACCTACCTAGCATGTGCAAGGCATGGGTGGGTTCAATCCCCAGCACCGAAACACCCCACCCAAAAAGAAAACAAACAAAAAAAGAAATACAACATTAACACAATGCTGTTGTATAATCTGCACTCGTGTTCAAATTTATTTGCATCAACTGTAATATCCTTCGAAGCTATTTTCTTTTCTTCTGGTCTCCTTCAATCTGTGACAATTCCCCAGTGCTTCTTTGAATTTCATGACCTCAACCCTTGGGGAGACTGCAGGCCAGTTAACTTGGAGAATGTCTCTGAATTTGAATTCATGTCTAGTCCTTTCCTCAGGATTGGATTCGGTGGATGGGTTTGGGTGGGAAGACTGCATCTGCTATGGTCCTGTGTCCTCAGGGTGTCCCAATAGATGGCACATGGTGTTGCTTCCCATGAGGGGATGTTGACTTCCATCACCTGGCCAAGCTGGCATCCTTCAGCATTCCTCACTGTGACGTTTCTGTCTCCCCTTTGTGATTAGTAAGTGTCTGGTAGACAAACCCTCTGAGGCTGCGTCAATATGCAGATCCTGTTCCTCCAACTAGTTTTAGCACACGTTGGTGATTCTCTAATTCCTTCCTTCCATCTATATTTATTACATTATAAGGAAGAGTGTTCTCTTCTTCCCACTTAAGTGTTAATTTACTGATATATTAGTGTGGACTCCAACATCTGTGTTATTCACTGGCTTATAATTCATTGCTCTTATTGCTGGTCATCAAGCACAAACTGTCCCAGAGTTGGCCAGGGTGAGCCCCTCAGGGTCTTCTGTTTCTTCCTGCTCTGGCCCCGTTACTTACTGAGCACATCCTAACTTTCTGATTCAAGATGTTTACTGTTCATCTTATAAGTCACCTGCCCCCAGCGCAGGGATCAGCATTTCTCCAAGGATCCCTGGTTACTTTCAGTGGTGAGTCCAGAAATGCTGCTCTTAATCCATTCTTCTTTACCTCTTGTGTCCCTGAAATCATCTGGAGTGGACTCTGAGGAGACAGGTAATGTTTTGTATGAACAGATAAGCCAGGAAATTTTAGGTTATTGCTGATGCTGAGCCCTTTTGAGCACCCATGGTTTGCAGTAGTTTAAGGAAACATGATTCCTTTTATTGCTATTATCATTATGATAATAATAAACATTTCCATTCATTCACTGACAGGCACTGAGTCCCCACTCTGTGCCAGGCTGGGAGAAGCAGAGCCAGCTCACGCAGGCATCATGCCCGGCTGAGTTTAGACTTCAAGCTCAGGGCATGAGCAGGGCATTGGAGGCCCTGGAGCCAGAGGGTCCCTTCCTTTGACAACTCAGGTTGTGTTTCTTTTTAAGGCTGCCTCCCCTCTCCCTGACTTCAAGGCCAGCTTACACAGAAATAGAGAAAGGAGAGAAAGGATTCTCTTTGCTTTAAATAGAACTAAAGAATGATGTGACCCTTTCATCCAGAAAAAAAAAAAAAAGCCTATTAACAGACCCAGGAACTAGCACAGGCGGAGAGGGAAGTATGAGATATGATGACCGGGACATTTCAAAACTGCCATGCCGGAAAATCAGGAACCAGCAGGCTCACAGGATCTGCCTCTCCCGAGCGGAACTCCTTTGGTTATAAACACAATGACCTGGTATTTGATTTTCTTTTCCCTATTCACATTTTTCAAAGCATCTGGCAAGTCACAGGTTTGAAGACTCTAGTTTCTCTTCCACAGCCTGCTCTGTGCAGGTGGAGCATCGGGTATGATGGACATTGAGTGCATGGTCCAGATCTCCCTCAAGGAAGGACTGGCTGCAGGGAGGGTGTCAGCAGTCTCAGCGGTCCATCCTTCAAAGCTTGCCTCAGCTATAGAGAGCTGCCTCCTCCTCATGCCCTCATGTCCTTCCTGAACAGCCCACATCTGGTGACCAAATAAGGCAGGGGTATAAAGGTGCAGGCATTAACTTGGTGCTGGAAGCTCCCAGAAGGAGCTCTTCTCCTTCTGCTGATTTGCCGAGGCCTGGTGGAGCTGAAGAGCAGGTGGACTTTCCTCTGCCCCAGCCTGCTTTCTCTTACTTCCTTTCACAGGTGGGGATCCCTAATAAACACCATGTGCTCCAAACTCTATTTCAGGGTCTCCTGCAGAACCTTATTCCTCCAGCTCAGTGGTGTGGACATGGGCCTTCACTGGCCAAAGCAGGCCCATTCTGTAATCTTTCCGAAGGCACAGTGTGAGCTGCTGCCCCATGCTCTCCCTGCCTGTCTTGGGGCTCCCCACTGGACACTCCCCATCTATGCCCTTCTAGGTCCAGCTATGGTCACTCTTTTTAATTAAGCTCCTTCCTCCTGAATACTTTGTTCCAGTATTCCCCCAGAAAAGTCTTCCCATTGTTCCAAGAAACCCAGGGCAGATTTGTCTCCTTGTCCAGCAGAGAACTATCTGGGTGGATATTTAAACTTAAGTCAGATTGGGAGGGATCATTCATTTCTCCAGGGCATTACCAGGCCTGTGAATGTCCGCGATGGAGGGACAGCCAGGCACTTCTGCAGATGGGTAGATCCATGCTCTAAAAGGGCAAGGCCCTTGCCTGGGGTTGCACAATGAGCTGGCCATAGAACCAAGTGTTAGGCAGCCTGTCAGAGCCTCCTAGTGCCCGCTTGTGCCCTCCAGCCAGCCTTCAGACACTTGGTATCTGGATTCACCTTGTAGTATTAGGGATTGAACCCAGGGTCTTGCATACGCTGAGCAAGTAAGTTCTCTGTCACCGAGCTACATTCCAGACCCTTTTAAAGTTATTCTGTGACAGAGTCTCACTAAGTTGCCAAACCTCAGCTTGAGTTTGCAATCTTCCTGCCTCAGCCTCCCAAGTTGCTGAGACTACAGGGGTGTGCCACTGTGCCTGGCCTAGCTCCTGGTCTTGACCTTCCTTTTGGATCCCCCAGCTTTCTCTTCCCTCTCCTTCCCATTCTTCTTTCTTTTTCTCCCATGCAACCTGACAATCACTTCTCCCACTCTGGTCTGCCTCCAGAGACTTTTGTTTACCTTCTCATTGACCTTGGCCTTCTGCTCCAGTCTTTAGGGCTCCGTGGGGACTAAGGCTGAGTCATTGTAGAGTCATTTATGACTGGATTGGTGGGGACCACTGAGGCCTCACCCTGCAGCATCACCAGAGGGCATGGATTTGCACAATCCCAACCTGGGAGTCCTCATACTAAACTGGTCTCAGAGAAGGAGTTGTAAACAGTTATGCTCCTCCTACTGTGTGCCAGGCACTGAGTTGTGTACTTTACATTCACTCTCTTTGTTCCTCACAAAGTTGAATGGGGACAGTATCATCACTGTGTCACACAGCGGGGGGTGGGGGGGAGGTGTGGCCACTGCTGTATGATCAGTAAGTGAAGGCTCGACAATGCCACAGCTAGTACAGGGCACACACGAAAACCATCTCAGAAAGTTCTGGGGCAATAATTGCTGGATTATTGAGGGATTTTAATTTTATTTATTTATTTTTATTTTTTGGTGTGCTGGGGATCAAACCTAGGGCCTTGTACACACAGGACACACACACTCTGCCACTGAACCATATCCCCAGCCCTATTAAGAGATTTTTAAATGTTGATAAAATGTATGGAATCCCATGACTAGAAGTCTATCTCAAGGAAACAACAAGAAAAATGGGAAACAATTTTAAATACAAAGATGTTCATAACAGTATTAGTATGTATCATAGAAAAAAACTTGAAAAGAACCCAAATATCCATGCCCCATTAAATTATGACATCACTCTACTGAAAACACATTACAGCCAATGAAAAGGTTTACAAAGTTTTATAATAACATGGGGCAAATGTTTATGACATACTGTCAAATAAAAATAGTAGGTTATGAATGATGCAGTGGGTCTCAGCCGTAAAAACGTACTCTGCAATTAAAAAAATAAAAAAGCATGAGTCTTCAGCGGCCCACTTCCTCAAGGTCTTACCCGCTTCATGCACACAGCTCCCACCGAAATTTTCACTCTGATGGTAACCTTTGCTTTGCATATCTGCTCACTGAATTGTGAGCATGGAGGCGGGGGCAATTGGGTTGTATTTATGTATTCACTCACTTATTTTGGTACTGGGGATTGAACCC